CTGAGAGGAGAACACAGACACAAGTAATCCAGATTCTTTTCCCCCTTTTGAGGAGGAACCTGGACAGCGGACAGACAGGGACAATTAGGCAAATAGATGAATAACTCCTGGATATAAATAGAGCCACAGTCCAGACTGTGATTAATGTGACCAATGTGGGGCCTGGTGGCTTTCGGCAGAACACAGCCCCCCTCCTGCTCATCCATTCAGAGCCTCTGCAAAAAGACGCCACCTTGCTAGCGTACCCCTGCTACCTTTATCGTGGCCTTATGAGCTTGAGTTACGACCCAGGGGAGAGGTCAACAGTCCAACCATTGATTGGTAACGGTAAAGGCTCTGGGCTGCGAAGCAAGCACGGTAGTCACATGCAAGTTAACAAACGAGGTCGCATTCAGGGTTTAGCTTTATGTTTTCTTTAGTGACCGGTCCCTGGGAGGACAGACCAATATATCCAGGCGCTGCAGTATTTTAGCGTGGGAGCGGATGTTTGTTTGGATTCTCCTCACAGGTCAAACGGTGGCTGCAGTGTGTGTGTGTGCGTGCATGTGCATTAAGTGTGTCTGTTGTCTCTGTCTGTGCAAAAGGAGGACAGGGGGAAGACAGAGAGGGAGGGGAGTCTGGAGCGTTGTTTTCAGCAGCGCTCGGTGCCCGAGGCTCGTCCTTTACGCTTTGCAGTTGTCACAACAAGCAAACTATGTAGAAAAATTGCAACGGCGAGCAGAGAGAGACGCATTTCCCAGCACAGGTGAAGAGTACAGGTTGGAGAAAAAATAAATAAATCACACGAAATGCTGTCGGTAAAAACGTTTTCTTAATTTAACTCATCTTAACGGAGTGGGTGCACACCAGTGGCTGAAGCGTTACTGTAGCCCCTCCGGTGAGAGTGTGTGCCTTCATGGTGCAGTACAGTTTATTCAGTACATGTGTGCTATGCACAAAGGCCTTTTTTGGTCAGATAAGTATGTGGAATGTTAAGTCTCCAAACACAGGTGCTTCTTATGAAATGGAGGAGATGGTTTAGATTGCTGCTACATTGGCAGACGATGTGTGCGCATAACACATCTAAGCTGCTCAAATTTGATCTGGGTTTTGAAGATTCAACAGATTAAGTGATATTTTGGTTTCCAAGATAAAGCAAATATTTTATCCCTTGTCCCATTGCAGCAGAGCAAACTACTCGCTTGGATATTAAACTCAGCAAATTTAGAAATTGAATGGCCAGCATGTATGTATGTATGTGTGTGTGTGTGTGTGTGTAGTCTTCTTTCAGTAGCCGCCCTTACAGCTGCAAAGACATGGGTTCTATAAAAACATAATAGGAGCTGCTCATTCGTTTGGCTTATCTGGAAGAGATTAACTGATAAGACAGTGCACTGTGATTATCGGCTCCTTGGTCACATTCTCAAACTCCGACACTTGGCCAGGGCGCTGAGTCCTGGGACACTGCTTGACTGAGAGCCGGGAGTGAAATGAGGGAGCGGTCCGGGATGCCTCTGTCGATGGGCTGGGAATGTGACCGTCTGCCTCCACACCCACAGGCCGACCACAGGGGCGCTCGGAGAGGCTGGGAATGTCGGGCCAAGAAAAACGGGACGCCCAGAGGCGGCCCTGGCGCTGGCCTTTGCAACGGCGCTGCTCTCTGAGCTACTCCGGCCTCCCAACTTCCACAACTCTGTTATTCTAGACAGAGGGACCCTCCCACACAAAGGGCAAGAGAGCAAGACAGAGAGACACGATGCCAAAGAGGGCCGGGGACATGAAAACACAGATGATGGCGTTTTAATTGCTTTTGAAAAACAAAGGTGCACAATTGATTAAAAAATGCGAGAAGACGTTGCTTGAGTGAATCTGCAAAAGTTCCCCGTTGCTCCGATGGGAGAGGAATACACCCTCCTGTTGACCGGGGAAAACCGACCCATCACAGGCACTCTCTCAACTGCGGCTTGTGGAACAAATGCAAGTCAACAGTTATTAATTAACATGGTCAACGAAGGGCGGTGCTGTCACCGAGGGAATGACCAGCATGCTGCACCCATTACCCTCTCCCCTGCGCCATCCAAATTAGATTTACTCCAGTGTATTTATAGTCTCCGCCTCCCGAAGCAGCTAATATGATCACAGAAAGGAGTAAAAGACCTAGCTTGAATAGAAATAAAAGCTTTGAGCAGGGACGTAAATTTTAACTGAGAATTCCTTGCAGTGCTGACGCTGCGAGGGCGGAAAGTGTGCGCACTAGCGAGAGAGGTAAAAACCATAACAAATCAAACATACAAAGAGTTGATTCTGTACTCAGGGCGAAGAGCTCATTCAGGGCAGGGGGGGGAGCGCTTCTGCGTACAGAGAAGGGCTGTGAACCCTCTAAGAGGTCAGTCCTGAGGCGGGGTCAGAGGTTGGCAGGGTGCACCGTTTGAGACTGCTTCTGAAAAGACTGGACAATGGCAGTTCTTATTGGAACAAGCGAGAGACTGGCATAGAACGACAGAGACACGAGAGAGAGAATCAAGTTAGTGGGTAGCTGATGGGTCAGCATTTGACCCAAGGGGCATCCCGGGCCTCGTCCTGGTCAAGCTGCCTCCAACAAGCACATTTTTTGGATTCTGTCTTTATCTTCTTATAATAAAGGAAGCCGACAAAAACATGTTTACATTCTTTTCCTGGGTCCGGCAATCAGTAATGGAAATGGTGCTGGTAGATTCTGATATGTTTGTTGTTTAGATGTCCTCACTGACTAACCAGCCGAATTGTCCCCACATTCCTGTCATAGAAAAAAGCCAGACTACAAATACAGCCAGGAGTGACAACTTGGCTGGTCTGACTGCACACGCAGAGAGCTCCTGCAGCGCAGTTTCACTATCTGTCTGAGCCCTTTTTAGTGGTTAGCCTGCGGTTTCCTGCAGCAGCTCCGAGGGTAGTGACAGCAGGACTGTTCACTGTGTCGTCGAGTTTTTTTCACGAACAGCCTGGAAGGAGAGAGTGAGAGCAGGCCAGAGGGAGGGGAATGGATGGAGGGAAAATTTAAAAAACGCAGGTGAGATTAGAGGGTTAACGTGTGAATTGCAAACCTCCCAAACTCTCAGCCGAGCTTTTAAGACATTCCCCACAAAATGGCTTCTGTGTGTCACTGTGGCGGCGAGCAGCAGAGCTGCGGACCTCGAGAATGGTCCCGCTGTGTGCAGAGTGTTTGTGGACTGTGGCTGAGCTGATGGACACGACCCAGGAACAGGCCTGGAATCAATTTAGTGCGTCCAGAAAGTGCCTGTGAATGTAAATAAAGCTCTTGAGCAAACAAACGCTTTTCCGAGAGGCACACACAAACACGGAGAAATGCAAAAGGCCTACAAAATGAATCAAATGCTGGTGGGCCCCCTTCAAGTACATGATGAGAACCCAGCTCTGAGCCCTTGTATCCACATAAATTAAAACCAGGACTCTTCTTCCTGCCTTCTGGCTAATTTGGAGTGTTTTATCCCTGAACTGATCTGAGATAACACCATGACAGAAGCCCAACGACAATAAGAAGACAACATCATCCCCCTGTTCCTCTCCCCCCCTCTTTTTCTGCTCCATTTCCATCTTCCCCTCTTACTGCCACCTCATTCAGCTCAGGAACTGGGGACATACAAGGCCTTGTGATCAGCCCCAAGAAGAACAAGACTGGGAAACTATGACTCTTACTAGCCAAGCCTGTTTACACAGATGGTGGCAAGCTTCATTATTTTTGTGAGGGGTGTGGAAGGAGGAGGATTGGCTGAATTTATAGAGGTTGTTTATAAGCTCAAAGAGGGATGGACACGGAGAACATTGGGTCAGAACATTTCCAGTGTGTTGCACATTATCAGCCCCCTCAACTACACAGCCTTTCAACAATTCCTCTACCCCAAGGATTTCACGCTGTCATCAGTTTAAGACTTCTCCAGAAATTTTATATACCCACTCCGGCAAACAGTTAGTACTTTGAAATCATTTATCATGTGAAGCCTACACAGATTTGGGCTGGTAAACAGTCATCATTGTGTCAGACAAGGACGAAAGCAGCAGGCACTCTGTCCAAATCTCTTTTCTGAATGAAGATTTTGATTTGCAGTAATCCTGCAGATCACATCATTTTAATCTATGCATTTTATTTATATGTATTTATTTAAATACATATATTTTAGGTACATACGTGGTCAAAACAACCTGCTGAAGTTCAAAGTGAGCATTAGAATGGGGAGGAAAAGTGACACTTTGGACAGTCCATGGTTGTTGGTGCCAGGTGAAGCTGCTCTGAGTATTTCAGAATCTGCTGATCTACTGGGATTTTATCTCCATCTCTAGGGTTTCAGAGAACAGTTGTAAATAAAGAAAACATCCAGCTAGCTGCAGTTGTCAGGGTGAAATGCTTTGTTGATGCAAGAGGTCAGAGGAGAATGGCCAGACTACTTTGATATGACAGGAAGGCAACAGAAGCTCAAATCTCTGCTCATTAAAACAAAGGTGTGCAGAAGAGCACCTCTGAATGCACAACGTGACCGCACTGTGCCACTGCAGAATTTGTTGTAAACATGAAAAGATGGATCCATCCTGCTGTGTGTGAAGCTGTGGAGATTACTTTAATGTCCTACTTTGGGACCATTAGTACCGACTGAGTATCAACGAAACGCAACAGCCTTCCTGAGTATTGTTGCTGACCATGTCCATCCCTTTATGACCACAGTGCACCCATCTGCTGATGACTGCTTCCACCAGGCTACTCATCATGTCACAAAGCTGAAATCACCTCAAACTGGTTTCTTGACATGTACTCATGTCGTGTGAGAATGGGAGATTCACGTCATTGATGTGCCGCAAACAAATTTGCAGGAACTCTGATGTCATTATGTATTTTAATACGGACAAAAGCTCCACAGTGTAACCACCAACTGACCCATTTATCTATCTCAGGGGTGAGCAACTCCAGGCCTTTTAGATCTCACCCTGGGTCTACACACCTGAATCAAATGATTAGTTCATTAGCAGGCCTCTGGAGAACTTCAAGACATGTTGGGGAGGTTATTTAGCCATTTAAATCAGCTGTGTTGGATTAAGGACACATCTAAAACCTGCAGGACACCGGCCGTCGAGGCCTGGATTGCCCACCTGTGATCTATCTAAATACCTTTGCAGGTATTTGAAAAAGGAAACAAACCTTTTGCAAGGTTGAGAGATTACGAGTATCACTTTTAGAGAATACAGTGCTAATAATGAAATGTCCAAAACATTACAGTAACCACCTCCTTTAACAGCAACTTTGTGGTTCACTGACAGATATATTATCACATTTTCTTCGTACTTAATTAGTTCTGAACTCCTTATAGAGGTAAACACTTCAGATCTGGCATCGTATTGATAACCTGGGTAATAACTGTTGGCACATTTGGCACTCAAATTCAAACTAGTCTCGGCATCTAATATTTTGTCCAATCACCACACAGAGCTCACAGTATTTGACTTCATTTCAATGTTTTTCTTTAATCGTTTTTCACCTCCTGTTACCCAACATGTTTTTACAATTTAAAAAAAAATTTTTTTTTTTAGATGTCATAATTTTAGAAAGAAAAATGTTGAATGAAATGTTTAAAAAGAGAACTTAATGCTGATCGATGCACGGGCCAAGGAGTGAAGTGTGTTTTTTCTGCCTGCCACGTGGGCATGCAGGCACCTGCACGCTTCCTCTCACATGTGCACCGTCTGAGCCCGTCTCTTTCTCATCCTGGCCTGTGGCACCGAGCCTCCCTGGCTGGCAACCATATGTTGATGACTCTTCATGAGTACAGTAGCGCTGACGATCAGCTCTATGAAATTACAGGAAGCTTGAAGAAGAAGGAAATTGCTTATACGGTGGATGCATCCGGTGCTGTTAATGTAAACTGTGTCCGCTGTGATGAAGACATGTGCAAACACTGTTGTGGAAGACAGGCACCGTGTGACTCACCTATCAGGTGCAGAAGGGTCAGAGGTCACAGCTGCAGTTAATTAACATACCATGCTGGAGCACTGACAGCACGTTAGGCTGTTAATTTGACCCACATACAGAATAAAGAATGTTTAGGTTTCCCAGTGTATCAGCCTTTACAGTTATCAAAGGTGTTTTTGTCTCTTTGTGTTCGTTCCCCACATTCTCTCATCACCTTCTTCGCTCTTTTACTCACTCCTTTGTTCCAGCCGCAAAATTTGTAGCAGACCTGAAAGGTGAGCCGAGCCCAGCCTCTCATCGTAAGCTGCGTGTTTCACATTACAGGAATATTTCCACTTTGTATTTTGCTAACCTCTGGCGCTGATAAAAAAGATCCAGAGCTCCCAAAGGAACGGCTTTCCTTCGGGGCGCTTATAGTGAGCGAATGTCTGAGCTCAGGAACATAACAAGAGGTCTATTCACGTGGCTCCTGCTGAGCATAGCGAGCAAAAGCCCGTCCAGCTCAGCAAGAAAACACACGAGGCAGAGATCTGAGCTGCTGAGCCAAAGCAGAGCACACTGTTTGCTTGCAGACTACCGAATGTTTCCAAACTGCATCAAAAAGCCATTTTCGCAGGTTGTTTAGTAGTAGTCCACTTAGCGCCACAAAAAAACCAAAAAACAACCCTTTTATTAAAGGGAATTAAAATTGTGTGATTATCTTGGCCACTTCTCTGGATTAATCACTCGTTTTCCCACTGTGTACTGACTGGACCATGAAATATTACCTTGATCCTACTGGGAGTTATCTGCTGTATTTCACTGGGCTTCCACACTGAGCTGGAAACAGATGATTCCCTCACTGCCAGCTTTTCACAATTAAATTTTTTCTTCAAATTTTAAGACTTTATGCAGTAAATGAGTGTGTATTAGCAGATGTTTTTGTGACGTTTTTTAGCACCAGGTGGAAACAGGAGAAAAAAATGTGTGGCTCAGGCAATGTAGAGAGGCTTTGAGAGGAATCTGTGAGCAGGTTTTTGCAGAGATGGCGGCACATCCTTTGTTTCTCATAGAGGCCATACAGTCAGAGGCCAGGTGCATGAAAGCACAGAAACACAGGTGAGCCCTCATCATAAAGGTAAAGACACGCCATATAGAATCACATTTTACTGGACTACAACAAAGCTAGAGACAACTCCATCTGTTCACAAACACACATCTATTCATAGGTACAGTACTGTGCAAAGACTTCCATCGTTCCTTCAAATTTTCCTTCCAAGGAGCCTCTTTCTAGTCATTTTAAAGTCGTCTTTCAACATTTCTTCAGTCCGTTACTTGTACCTGACCATTTTCAGAAGAATGACTTTTGTTTTGTTTTGTTTTGCTTGGTTGTTAAGACACTTCACACTGACTTGGGATTCAGTCAAGCATAAAAAAGGATCTTAACTCAAGAGATGAACCAGCTTAATGTCTACACATAACAGAAAATCTAGCAAAGAACTGATTTTTAACTGTATCTTGAGGCACTTGTTACAAAGATACACACAGTGGGGGGAAATAATTTAAATAATGAATTTGAAAAGAGCACATTAACTAAAAGTTATAAATTGATTTTCATGTCATTGAGTGAACAACTCAACAGCCCAAATTCATCAGGAGATCAAATGATTATTTCATGCACTATAGTGTGTTTGCATTTCTTTATTTCAATCTCCAAAAAATAATACAGTTATCATGAGAGGTATAAAACTATATTTCTAAAGAGCTATTAGCTGAAAACTTCATGGTGTTGTGCAGTTTGTCCTTCAAAAGTTTGAGGAAACGGGACAAGTGGAGGATAAAAGAAGTAGTATCAGGCCTAAAAACTGTCTGCAGCCTATAAAAAGTATCTGAACACACATATGACACAGGATGTGAGAGATGGATCCAGTCCTTGTAGTAAAACTTTAGGTAGTCATGGCAGAACTTAATATCTTACTTTGTGGTAAAGCACGGTGGAGGCTCTGTCACGATACAGACTACTTAAGGCCCAGAACCTGGTTGCTGTTGCTCAGATTGGGAGGTTGGTGGTTCGATCCCTGGCTCCCCCAGTTTGCATGCCAAAGATACTAACTCTGAGTTGAACTCCGATGCACCCATCGGAGTATGAATGCGTATGAATGACAGTTAGAAAGCACTGAAAGTATAGATAACAGTGCTTGTGTCATGGGTGAATGTGTTGTATACAGCGCTTTGAGTACTCCAGGAGAGTAGAAAAGCGCTATAAGAATGAGTCTATTTACCAACCACATTTCAATAAATCTCCCTGTAAATCCAGTGATCATAAAAATGTATCCACAACCCCGCTAATGCAACATTTGCATCATTAAATGATTCGCAAATTGAATGCTGTTTTCTTTTTTTAACACCACCTCAGGTCATGGCATAGAGATTCTTTGGTGTGTAATTTGCAACCAGTTTGGTTCAGGAGGTATGGAGGTGGGGCAGGTGGTGGTGTGGTGTCCCTGTCCTGGAATAGCTCCGGGACTGGAATGTTCTGGGGAATGTGTAGCGCGAAGGTTTGATTGGCTCGGGAGGAGAAGCGTGTCGGTCTGCGTATGTGTTGTCAGAAGGTTATGGAATCTGCGCAGAGAGTCGGTGAGGAGAGATCCGTCGTTACCGTTTGGTAACAGCCTCGCTCTGGTCACCAGGCTGACAGCTGACTACGTTGGTGGCTTAGCCCTGCCTGTCTGCACCTTGTTGTTGTGGCTTCGGTCACCTTTCCCCACGGCCTGTGTGGGTATGCGTGTGTGTCACACCACTGATCGCTTACCAGGCTTTGTGAAATCCGATCTGCCTCGTCCATCTCAGACCAGCAGAGCACAGACAAGCAGGCCATTAGGCCCCTCTGCTCTGCAGGTTAACCTTTGAACTCCAGTCCCCCGTTTGACCAGAATGGACTGAGAGGCCGTGTGGGGTCAGCATTTTGCTAGGTCATCACAGGCTATCAGCAGCTATCTGCGCATCTGCCAATAAGCACCGACTTCTCAAGGTCTACAAACATTACTGACTTGCATAGAGGCCGGTGCAAACAGGCTTTCAGGTGATTGCAAACACACACTGATGCACACATACCTAGTCTAGAAATATACTGCAGTGAAGCAGAGCTGCACAGAGAGGCTGACAGGAGTGTTTAAGAGAGGGCATCAGGCTCTCACGCTGGAAGCGATGGCCCTGCAGGATTCCTGTGTGAACCCTGGGTTCCTGCTCTCGCTCCCTGCCCGGCAAACCCAAATCTCTGCCACAACATCCCAGACAGGAGGACTACTCCCACTGCTGTGTTTGCTCAGCTGCGCTGGCTTTGTATCAGTGTATCGAACCCTCTTGTTTCTGCTCCCTGGGTGTTTTCTCCCTCTTCTTCTGTTTGGTTTTTTTTCTTCCAACTGTTTGTGGCCTTTTTTTTGTTCTCTGTTTGTCTTTCACAGCGTGCATCTGACGTTTTTCACAAGATTGACGGCAGGTCACGAGGTGGAGGTGAGGCAGCTACCTGCGGAAGTCTCATGTCTCCTGCCACATAGTGTCACGTTGGTGTCAACATGCACAGCAGTCACGTAAACCACCTCTCTGCTTTGGACTGCGATCGCTCTGACTCGCTGCAAAAGAGGCCAGATCTGTTAATCTGGTTAGCGGGCACAAACATAAACAACTTAACAACCTTTTTCTTCTTGCTTTTACAGCCTGGCTCATAAATACAAGTTAAGCTGATTTTGATTCGTCAGCATGGATACAGCATCACTTAAAACCACACAAATTAAAGTCCATATCGTGTGCGTCTAACCTGCAAAGATGCGTAATCGCTTGCGTCGTGGCGGCGGGCCCAGCCCAGACACCCCCGCGCACTCGTCCTCGTCGTCGCAGTCGCCACTCTCAAATTCCTCCTCCCCCTCTTCGCTCCACCCGTTCGCTCCTGCTCCACGAGACCGGGCTCTCCAGCGCTTCTCAGACACCGTCACAATCTGCAGCAACTGTGGGACAAACAGGAAGCGGTTAAAGGTAATCATGTGAAAAAAATGCACCCTCAGCCTCTCCGTGAGTCACTCTGCGGCTGCGGAGTGGGCCTGCGCACATTAAAAGTTTAACAAAGCTGTGAAAATAAATAAGGGGTGTCTCTTGAGCTGAGTGTGTAGCATGTGATTATAACAGGGTGAGGGGAATTCCAGGGAAAAAGGAAAAAAGTCGGCGAGATCTAAAAAAGGTTGGTATTTACCAAACGTGTATGACAATCACCAGGCAGGAAAAACAGTTTTGTTATCGGTGCCAGTTTTGTTATTTTTGTCCAAACGTGATTCATTCAAAGGGCTGCGGCTTTTGCTCCATGTAATTTGCCGGTCGAAAAAGAAACTGGGGTAAGCAGACTGGTGTGATTGTGTTGTTACTGGCAAACATCATTGTCTTGAGTGGTTGTCTCAGGGCAACAAGGATAACACCACATAACACACTCCACCCGAGTGGACATCAAGGCCCCCCCCCCTCCCGCGGCAACTAAAAATACACAGCTAGATGTGAGATTAGGAGAAATGATGTTTGCAATATTTTTGGAGCATTTTAGCTTGAAAAGAAGATAAAATCCAGCAGATGGATCAATACGACATCAAAGCAAGATGGTAAAAGACAAACATGCACCACAAGCTCGAGTAAGTGTGCGACAGAAATGTGATTTTCAGCATAGCCTTTATCCAGTTTGGCCTCTGGGCTGGAAAAGCAGTGGCTGTGTGACTTAGACAATTTACAGAAGCTCATAATGAGTTCTGCAACACATTCCTTAACTTCTTCTTCCTTTGTTTGGGAGAAATGTGGGAAACTCATCAACTCATAAATCATATAAAAAAAATACCCTGGAGCTGTTAAGCTATTTCATTAACGATGTTTAAATTCCAGTCGACCTAGTATAATAAAAATACATCAAGTTTTACACGTTTAATAACTTAAACTGAATGAAACATCCTTGAAAAACTTCATTCAGTTCCCATCTTACATTCGTGCGTGAAAAAAAATGCGTGTGAGAGCTTGGAGACAACGTACACGGTCGCACTCTGACCATCGTTCAGGCTTCATGACATCACACGTGATTGAGAGCCTCGCCAGAGGAACAGATGTGCTAAATTCCAGCCGCCTGCCCTCTCTGGCAGCGTCCTCTCATCTCGCCGCTCAAGCTCCTCCTTGTTTGTTTTTTATTGATTTCCTTCCTATCTGTGTACGTCAGCATGCATATTTTGCTGTTGTTTCTAGTTGTCTTTGGGAGAAAATTGGGTTCATATGGGCCTCGTCTCAGGTCAGCTGCGACGTCTGTCTGGGCCCAGACTCGTGTGTGTGAGTTTGTGTGCGCGCGATAGAGCGGAGGTATAAAAAGCCCAAGCTAATCACAGAATTACGTCAGTCGGAAGATAAACAACCCTTTTCCCTTCGGCTCCATATACAAGCCAGTCAATCTGGCTTTTACAAGTGACATAAACTCTAAATTTTGGAGCGGGAACACACATTACCCTGTTCCCAGCACAGCCAACCAACAAACCTCCATTCATTTAGCAACATTGAGGCCATACACTGATGATGACCACAACATTTTTAAAAGCCTGGTCACTTGGACCGAGGGACGGACAAACAGTAACTCACAGACATCGGATCCACAGGAATATTTTAGCTTCTTTTTGAGGCTGTGCAGCGAAGCACCACCTGCTGACAAAGCTGAGCTCTCATGAAAACACCCCGTTATCTTCCACAAGTACACTCTCCACATCGTGAATGGAACTTTAATGTACTGAACTGTGTTAAAGAGACATATGTGTTTGCCTGCAGAGCCCTCCACAGATTTACCGAGCTGGGCCCGAAATTCCTTCTAACGACTTGTATCCTGGCAACTTGTCCAGACTCAGGCACGGGAGGGGCAAACCTTGTTAAAAGGCAAACAGACACTTGTAAAGCAGGGAGAGAATGAGGTGGCTCGGGGTATTTTAGAGCAAAGCCTAAAAAAAGGAATGAGGAGAGGAGGGAAAACCACTGATGTCAACAGCCGTGTTTGGAGTTTACTGCCATGAGCAGATCTTCACCTTCCAGTATACATACAAACTCGCATAAACAGACACTCTGACGTCTGCTTTACTACATCCTGACGGTAGATGACACAGGGCTAAGTGTTTACAGTCGTGCAGGATCTGCAGCTTGGTGGGGCGTTGAGCTCAGCGCTAATGTGTCGGCAGGCTAATATCCTCACAATAACAGTGCTGACACACCGGTGTTTGTCAGGTTTCATGTTTACCATCTTAGTTTGGCATGTCAGCTAATGTCACAATCAATTTGTTTAAAAGAATAAATGTTTTGGGTGAATGACCGAATTGAATCACTTAAAAGCTCTTAGTCAGCTGCGAGCAAACATGCGGGGATATATTCAGTCACTGAATGAGTAATTCAGTTCATTATCCTAACACGGAGGTAGCTGGGAGTTAACGCTATACAATCAATGGCCTGCTTCCTCAAACAGAAAACCACACAAAAGCAAACACGCACCTTCAAGTTTAATGTTGTGAAAAAGTCAGACGATCCCACCGATCTCTTAGATGAAATGGTCAACTTTACAGCAGAATTTAAAATGTTTACAGCCTGCTATAAAGAATAAATATTTTTGTCTTATACCCAGTTTTCTCCTTCGTAAAGATACATTTAGTCATTTTTTGAAGTTTATTCAATGGAAAAAAATGTGGGACTCATAAATATACATTGATTAGTGTGTAATTATTATCTTCCAACAAACTGATGAAGTCTCATAGACTGCAGGGCGCCGCCATGTTGCCCTGCCATCTTGAATGCCATGGCTGAGATGGATATCACCGTTCCCCCAACCTCGTTTTATGTGTGTGGCAGGAGAACGACCAACTTATAGATGCTTGCACTCAGTGGAGGCAAGTTTTAATTCATGCCTGGACCTTCAGACTCAGACATGGTGTGTTATAATCTGAAATGGGTCCCCTTCACCAATCAAGCAAAAATGCGAACGAAAGAGACAACAAGCAACTTAATAAAATGTCATCCTCGTCTTCAAGCATTATGCCCCGAACTGAAGTTAGAGCTCTAACACACCAGTATCCAACAATCCACAACAAAGAAATTCAGGGAAAGAAGTAGCATCCTCACTAAATCACCTCAGTATCGCTGTCATCAGACAGATGTGAGCTTCTCAGACTCATCAACCTACATCGGACTCCTTTCACCAGGTGCCAACGAGGCCAGTGGCTGCTATTGGACGAGTAATAAATATAATGAAAAACGTGTAAACATGCTAGCTGGATATATGCAAAGCAACACATGTAAAAATTTTAAAACACAAAATCAATAGCAGTTTAAACCTGGTGTGTCATCTGGTGGGTGTGACCCATCTAGTGCGCGCCTACACCACCAGCAACCGCCGCTGCTTGTGGATCAATGAAAAGCTGACCTGAGTCTGTAAGTCCCTTCCTGCTAGTACATAGTGTCTTTGTAGCGCCACACATCAACAGAGCACCCTTTGGACTCAGGCGGAGCTACAGGGGGATTGGAGGAGATCTGACCCCTGGCAGTGGTGCGTGAACATGCCCTCATGGCCGCGAACCAGATCCCCAGCTATGGGTAGTTAGCACCACTGCCTTGTGGTTGTGTCGGGAGTGACAAAGACCAAAATCCAGAATGGAGTCTCAAAGTTGGTTGGATGACTTTCTTGTCACTGTCAGGAAGCTCCTGCATCCTCCCGCCGTTCCAAATATATCCTGGCACTGGATCCAGAAGTCCCCCTCACTTTAACCCAAATCACACACACACACAAGTCACAACTTCCAGCAAAAAGTCATCGTCCTCATGGCAACCGATGGATTACACTGTAAAATGTGCGGTGCAGCTGCAGCATGAAAACTGAGGGAACATCGTACATTTGTTTGCTGAACACACGATAAATGTACATTTTGAACCTTGAAACAATAAGGCATTTATGATTCACCTCAGCTTCAGAGCTCTGATCAGTTCAGAGAACACTGTTATTTTTCTGAGGAATTATTTTAATTAAAACATTTCTCTGGATTTTGAACAGAAAAAAGTGCTGTGCACATCACAACGATTGACATTCTAGGATTAATTGTTTTGTCTTAAACCACTGTATTGGATAAATCAATATTTAGCCCTGGTCATGGAGCACAATTAAAATGTCAAAGAAATAACAATTCATTCTGATGAAGACATGAATGCTGTTATTGTCATTGTACAGCTAGAGGGCACCACAAAAGTCACTGTGGATTAAATATTTAGAGACCACAAATATGCCAGCCGACCAAGTAAGTCTAGAAATATTTTGCCGAGCACGAGAAACCTGCCAGTGACACGAGAGGCAGTTTACAGGAATAGTTCTCACGGGTATTACTGCTAACCTTCATGACAGTTTGATAACTGTTAAGATAAAGTAGTAGACAAACCAACTAACCGACCAACATTGTCTCAGAGCTAATCTTTTTTTTTAAGATGTTGATTAAAATCTAGTTTCATGCACACATTTGAGTGAAGAGCATATGAGCTGTACATGGAGAACGCATGAAAACAGTTTTGGAGAATTAAAAAAAGAAACTGTATATGCAGGCATGGCACTGACCCTTCTCCACAGCGGTACAGAGGGGAGGATGACAGGGCAGTAGCTCTGTGGCAGGGCGCTGTGGATTCTGCCCACTGGCTGCCCGCCTCTGCCGCGGCTGCGGTAGCATGTAGGGGTGGGGTGGATGTTTGTATCGAAAGTGACGCTGCGCTTTTGGCATGGCAAAGCCGCTGCGTGATACGCCAAGAGCATCCAGATTTACCACAAGAGGAGAAACCTCAAGCAGCTCTGAACTGGAATCTTCTGCAATTATAAAAAAAGAGAAAAGAAAAACCAAAGCAAGAGGAAGCAGGGAGGAAGCAAATAAAAGGGACTTTTTTTTTCGAGAAATGTTCGGCATGTTTTCCATTACGAGAGGAA